CTCGTCCCTCCTGCCCTCGGCTCCTGCCTCACTGAGGGCAGGAAAATCCCTCTGCACCGGGTGACTCCAGTCCCCGCTCCCTCTGCAGAGCTTTCTACTCCTCCAGGTCCAGGCCAAAGCTATTTGGGGCTGCCTGGATAAAAAGCAGCGTGGTTTTTTGATATTGAGGTTGGTTTTTTTGTTGGGTTTTTTTTTTTTTTTTTCTTTTTGGCTTTGAGATACTACTTGGACTCGCTCCCAGACCAAACCCAAGCCCCAGCTGCACATCTGTGCCTGCTCATACCTTGCTCCGACATTTCCATCACTCCCAAAGTGCCTCCCTTCTCTCCGGCAGCAGCCCCAGCTTGACTTTCTGCCCATCTGCATGGGTCCGTGTGGCAGACCCTGGTGCAGAAGCCAGTCCCGAGGGCATAGGGGGGAGCTCAGCATTTATAGGAGGTGACCATCAGGGTGAGCTGAGACCTGGTCGATGAAGGGTGGAGACGCACAGGGTAGCACTCTCTGGTCCTGCAGTTGAAAGGGCCAGCAGGTGTCTGCAGGCGAAAAGTTCCTTTGCCTTTGGGAAGGGTTGCCCTGCGGCAACCAGGATTTGCCAGCGTCAAGCTCTCTGCCCTTGGTGCCAGTCCTACACCGCTGCACACAACCTCACGTGCCGCTTCCAGCCTCCCGAAATGATCGAGGCACTTCTGCAGCTGTGGGGGGGAGGCACGCTCAGCGCCCTGCCCGCTCATCCCACCTGCCAGCACCAGGCTGGTTGGGGCTGGCACGCTCGCCTGCCGCTCTGCCTCTTTCAAACGATGCCACCCCGCTCCCTGCAGTCACCCTCTCCTTCCAGCTGGGTCGATGCCCTGTGGTGGGTGCTGTCCTGCAGCCATGAGCCTGGTTGTCCCCCCCCCACCCCTGGACACTGAGCAGGGTGGCAGCGGGGACCCCGGTGAAGAGGCAGGTTGTGCAGCAGCGTCTGCCAGCACCTACCTCTGCTGAGATGGCATCCACCCTCGGCAGCGTCAGGGCAAAGAGCTTTTCCTTTGGCTGGGGGTAGAGGGTGGCAGGGAATGAGGTGGTCGGCAGAGCAGAAGCGAGCCCAGGGCACACTTCTCCACTTAGGGCTCTGCTTCATCACCTCCCCAGCATCGCCAGCAGATCCCATTCCCCCTCAGCATCATCCCCCTTACTTCAGCACCCCACTGTAAAGGAAGGCAAGCTCCTTCCAGCACTCCTGCTGAAAAAAAACCCAGGCATTTCCCCTTCCTCATCCTCCAGCAAGAGCAGGGGGCACAGCTCTAGACAGAGCCAGGGCTGCCTCAACCTCCCCCCTGCCAGGCAAAAAATTTGGCTGTGGCGAGAGCGGTGCTGGCTCCGGCGGCGCATTCCCCGCGGCTGGAGAGGGCCAGTTTTAGCAGACAGCGCTGCATGTTAGTTTACAAACCCAGCCCTGCACGTTCGGCCTCTGTGAGTGTTTCAGTTCCCCCCACGGAGCACCCTTCTGCCGTTCCACCTTGGTGAAGACAAGTGTCCTCCTCCGGTAGACATGCGAGTTCCTCCCTGGCACATGCGCAGACACGGTTCGGTTTTTGTTCCAGACAGGAAGGTCTTGACGACAAACCCCACCACCCACCACCACCACCACCTTTTTTTCCCCCCCTAAAGTTTGTTTGAGGGACAGGCTGCTGCCGGGAGCAGCACTGAGCAGCCAGGACCCACTGGGACGGTGGGGTGGCAGGGTGGCCCGCAGCGGGTTGGGGGGCACGCAGCCACGTGGGGCCAGCTCATGGCCGTGGCGTGTGCTCCGTGTCCTGCTGTGGGAGTGGAGAGCAGCCCTGTCCCCAAGAGCCGGGCAGGAGCGGGTCCCCACACGCAGCAGTGGTGATGGCTCACGTCACCGTAGCCACCTCACGTCACTGCGGCCACTCAACAAGGCAGAGGACAGCAGGTAGAGACAGCCTGGGCCGGGGTGGGTCACAGGATCACAGAATGATACGGGGTTGGAAGGGACCTCTGGAGATCATCTAGTCCAACCCCCCTGCCAAAGGTCCACCCAGAGCAGGTTGCACAGGAAGGTGTCCAGGTGGGTTTGGAATGTCTCCAGAGAAGGAGACTCCACCACCTCCCTGGGCACCACCTCCTCTGCTGCCGGGTCTGCGGGCGGACGAGAGGAAGGACTAGATACTGCACAAGGGTGAGAGTTGCACTAGAAGAGTCAAGACCCTCCTCTGTGTAGCAGGACTAAAAACTAGCAGAAAAGACCGAAAAGGTCTGAGATTTGCTGGTTACAAACACTTTTCTGTGCTACATGTGCAATATATTTGTTATGAATGTTACCACAAAGTCAGTTCATTCAATAATCTTTTAATCACCGTAGCTAGATGTTCTCCGTCCATTCAAGTGACTTTTATTCGAGTGCAATATTTCAATAGACATGTAGTGACCTAGTATGCTTTGTGTTTTAGAGAATCTGTGTGCAGAGCAATGCAATTAAGTTTAAAACCTTGTAAATAAAACAGGTTGCAAACCAAAAAAAGAAAAAAAAAAAAGAAAAGAAAAAAAAAAAGAGTATTAGGCTTGCATTTAATTTCTGTGAGTGTTTCAGTATCGTGCATTAGGCCGCCTCAGTACAGACCCCGTGTTCTCTGTGCAGGTATTAATGGAGGAGTGGCTCCTCGGCTGTTGAATGCTCCCTGTTAATGCTTTACTGCTTTAACTGTATTCATTTTTCTAGACTCCTGTCTGCACAAAATGCAATAAATGATTTTATTACACCCTTCACTACTTGCACGGGGAGTTTTCACTTGCTTCCAGGGTCTCCACTGCTATTTTGCACTTGGCTGCTACCGTTTCCGTAACAAGGAGCAATAAGGGAGCAGCAAATTGCAGAGGGAGCAAAAAAACAGGAGGAGAGGAACAGCCTCTCCCAAGCTCTGCAGTTCCTGTGTTTAAGCTCACACAAATTTCTGATCACCCCAGCAAAGATGCTTTACCTGCCTGTGGGGCCGTGGAGATGAAGAAAGGGATCTAACAGAGACCAGAGGAGGAAAGACGGCAGAGAGACATCCTTCCCTCCCATTTCAGGCTGCGTAGTAACGGCAGCACAAAGTCCAGGAAGGCCAGTGCTCAGCCTACAGGGACTGCTGGCCCTGACTTGCCACAGCAGCAGACAATCACCTGCAGCTGTGGGGGGGCCACCAGCCCCAGCTCCTTGCTGGCCCAAACGCACCCTCCCCTCCTGCCACCAGCAGCCGGGGACGCTTGGGACCTCTCACACCGGCCCCTGCGTGTGTCCCTCTGCTCTGCCGCAGATCCTCCCGAGCCCACTGTGCCAGAACAAGCAGCCGTGAGGTATTTTGACCCCAAACTGTTACAAACTGAGCCAGACCACAATACCCTGACAGCAGTCCCTGGAAGGTTCGTACACCTCCCGCCTGGCATCCAGCGCAGGGCAGCGCTGACACGGCTCCTCTGGAAAGGAGAGTAACGGCAAACGCGACGGAATAATGTATTCCCGCAGCACTCAAGCTGTCAAATGTCAAAAATGCAACAAAACGTTTTTCCTGCCTTTTTATTAAAAAGTAATGTCCTCTTGTTAACAGCACAGAGAGAGAGAAAAAAAAAATATGCTACAACACAAACCACCTGGGACAAAGAAAATCCTCTGCTCCAAGAACACCGCTCTCTCAGCTTCTCTCGGTTCTCTGCAGGAAGCCTACGGACTCCAAGAAGGCCGTGATGGGGAGGACCACAGAGTGTTTGTGTGGACCACAGAATGTCTCTGTGGACCACAGAGATGTTTTGTGTTCTGGTATCAAAGTATGTTACTGGTTAAAAACACGGTGAAGAATCACTGCCCGATTTTCCACTCAACTGTCCGCTGCGGCTACCAAAGTGTAGAACAAAAAATAATGTATAAAATTATGGTATTGCATCTTGGCACTGCCTCCCCGCCCCAGATGGACAGAACAGCCATCGACAGTGAGATGAAGGTTCAGGGAGCGGACATCCACCACCCAGGAACCGGCTGCAGGGAATTCCCAAGGGAGGGAGGCAGCCCATCAGTGAGGCTGAGCCGCTGGGCCACGGGAACCAACCGTCCCAAAGCAAGGTGATAAGAAAAGGAAATTTATACACCAAAATTTAACAGATTGATCTTAACACTGACTACTCGGCGTAGGAAAACTGACAGACCGTTTCCTTGGTTGGAAGCTCTTGTGTTGTGCCACTGCCCCAGTGGTCCGACCAAAGCTGCCCATTGACAGCACAGAGAGAGAGAAAAAAAAAATATGCTACAACACAAACCACCTGGGACAAAGAAAATCCTCTGCTCCAAGAACACCGCTCTCTCAGCTTCTCTCGGTTCTCTGCAGGAAGCCTACGGACTCCAAGAAGGCCGTGATGGGGAGGACCACAGAGTTAAGAGATGTTTTGTGTTCTGGTATCAAAGTATGTTACTGGTTAAAAACACGGTGAAGAATCACTGCCCGATTTTCCACTCAACTGTCCGCTGCGGCTACCAAAGTGTAGAACAAAAAATAATGTATAAAATTATGGTATTGCATCTTGGCACTGCCTCCCCGCCCCAGATGGACAGAACAGCCATCGACAGTGAGATGAAGGTTCAGGGAGCGGACATCCACCACCCAGGAACCGGCTGCAGGGAATTCCCAAGGGAGGGAGGCAGCCCATCAGTGAGGCTGAGCCGCTGGGCTACGGGAACCAACCGTCCCAAAGCAAGATGATAAGAAAAGGAAATTTATACACCAAATTGAACAGATTGATCTTAACACTGACTACTCGGCGTAGGAAAACTGACAGACCGTTCCCTTGGTTGGAAGCTCTTGTGTTGTGCATCTGCCCCAGTGGTCCGACCAAAGCTGCCCGTTGGGGTGAGCTGGGCGAGGTGAGGAGTGTGTCTCTGCCCCGCTCTGCCCGGACACCACAGTCCAGCTACGGAGGGACCAAACCGCCCGCTCCTGGGTTACTGAGGAGAGGTGAGGCATGTGCTTCATGAGCCCAGCTGCTAGCGCTACCCCTCTACTTTCCAACTGGCTTACACGCCATTAAAAAAAGAAATAAAAAAATTATCCAAAGAAAAACAGTTCCCGTTCCAAAAAGGTGGGTCTCCACGAAGGCCCAGTCAGCGTCACCGCTCTGTTCAGTCCCGTTTCCTCAAAACCCAAAAAACTATACTAAGACCGTTCAGCGAGACCAGACTGCACCACAATGTGAAGATGCACCAGCTACTGGGAGTGAGGAAAATTGAGAAGGACCATCATTGCAGCAGCTTCTGGGACTGGACAAAAGAACCGATTATCCAAAGCGGCTCTCGGCACGTGGTGCCACTGAGAAAACATCTCTCCAACCACTGCTAACCAGGCCGAGGGGAGGAAGGGCAGCGCTAGATCAGCCAGCAGCAATGCCACCGGGGGTACACTCTCACCAAAGAGGAGAGGACATGCATATCCAGGGGCATTCGTCCCGTGTCGAGGACTCCTTAAACAGCTATAAGTATGGAATGGCAAAGGGAAGGGGACAGGGCCTGCCAGCTCAGCTTTAGTAGTGTCGCTGGTAGGAACCCATAGGTTGCTGGGCTGAGGAGCCTGCTCGCCCCTGGGCCACCGTTTGGCTCACTAAGTGGGAGAGTGCAGGACCACTCTGGATAAGGGTGTCCAAGGCTTTCTGTACGCTGGGGTTGTCAAAGTTGATACCAGAAGACACCGGCCTTTGAGCAGGTACGTTGCCAGGTGCAGGGAGGCGATTTTGGTGCTGCCCGTAGAGCGACTGAGCTGGCGGAGGAGCCCCAGGTCTCGGGCCTGCATTTCTTGAAGGGCCTTGGAGAGCAGGAAGCTGCGTGCTGGGAGTCTGCAATCTCTGCTGAGCCTGGTTTAAATTTCCAGCACTGAGGGGTGCTGAGCGGGCCTGACCGCTGGCCATGTTAGCAAAGTTCTGGTTGGGAGTGCCACCCGAGGCGCCTGCAGGGGCTGCAGAACCGCTGTTTGCCACAGCAGCTGCTGCCGCTGCCGCCCCGCTGTTGAAGAGACTGAGGATTTTTGCTTGAAGCTCCTGCTGAGGATTAGAAGAAGAGACCGGAACAGAAGGAGCAGAAACCAGAGGCTGTGAACCCTGATGAGCCTGAGAGCTTGGAAGGCTGGACTGACTCCCCAGAGATGATCCTGAAGGTGCTCCCAGAGACTGTCTTGACATGGATGCTGGGAAAGAAAGGAAAGAAGGTTAAAGCTCTGCAAATTCCCTTGAAGAGGCACCTAAAGAAAACTAGTGAAACAGCTTCCAGAGACACAAGCACCAGTGAACACCCATCCTCTGAACAGGAGAGTTGTACAGCCCTGGGCAACCCAAACCCTTCACCAGAACTGCTGCCCTTTGTTTGCAGCCAAACCAGTTATTGCAGCCCCGTGGTTTCCCTGAGAGAATCCAATATAAAAGTTCTTTCACTCGAAAGACCTGCATCGTCTCAGGACTCCCAAGGACAGGTCCATCTCCGTACAATGAGGTGCTGTGTGAGTAAGTCATGACACTAAGGGCTCCTCTTGCAGTCCCAGGAGTGTTTTGGGTTCCCAGCCCAGAGGGCCCCCAAACGATAGGATTCACAGCCTTGTCTGGGGCTCAGAAACTCACCCTGCAGAGAATCACCGCTTCCCCTCAGTAACCGTTCCTTCCGGTCTCTCAAGTAATTAATGACTTTATCAGTCTCCTCGGCAGTCAGACAGCGATTGTCTGCCAGCAGGTTCAAGAGAGTCTGGATCCCTGGAGGGTGACCTCCTCTGACACCCTCCTCCATGGGGGGTGGGCGCTCCCGCTCCTGCAGAACAGCCTCGTCTGCCATCTTGGCAGCCTGCCGGGCGATCTCCTCCCGCTCCTTCTCCCGCGACTCCGTCTTGTAGCGCTCGTAATTCCTTGCCACCAGCACCATGGCGTCAGCCTGGGGCATGTTGCGGTGTTCTGCACAAGGAAAAGAAAGGTTTTCAGTAAACCAAAGTGACGTTAACAGAAGGTGCCCTGGCCTCACACACACACCCAGCGCATCTCATTCAGCAGGCAGGCACCACTTTGGGATTGCGAGCGTAGATTTGGGTAGCTTCCCAGGCTTCCCAGTCCCATTTCCTACACCAACAGAAGGCTCAAGCCTCTCACCCAGCAAAGCCATCCTTTTCTTCCATAGCTGAGGGCTCTGTGAGAAGATACCATATCATTACAAGAAATGTCTATCCTTCCTCTCACCCAATTAAAAGGGAAAGCAGCTCCCTCTACCTCTCATATAAATTCTCCGTGCTCCAAGAGAAGACAGCTCCAGCCATTCTGCTGGTAAAGCCTTGGACAGATCCAAAACTTGCTCTCTGAAAAGCTGCTAAAGCTTCCCAGAGCAGGACAGCAATGGGAATACTTTTTGATTTTTTGTGCACATGCAGGAGATGAGGAGGAATGAAGCACTGGCTTGATGTGACATTGCTGCTTCTGTTTACTACTCTGGGGCAATAAGCAGAAATCAAGTTCTTCTGTAATAGAACGAATAATGGTCTATTCCAGCTTTTTTTTTTTTTTTGCAGTTGCCTTTTAAAGTTTTTGAAGTCATTATTTCCACCTCACAAAGCACACAGGCAAATATTCCTCTGAACACAGATTTAAGCAGGGAGATGAAAAGAGAAGGCCTTTACCTTCCCAAAAGTGCCCAAAGCTCTGGGTACTTTTCGCACCTGCAGATAATCAAATCCTGCCACCCTCTTCCTCGTAACAGGAAACCAGGGTTCGTTTTAACATTCATAATTAACATTGCACAAGTTGTGACAGAGTTCCCTGAAACTAATGTGAATGGAAAGGTGGCCACGTGCAGGTCAAGTGAGCTTATTTAATCTCTAGAAAGAGCTGTGGGTGAGCTAATGACTGGGGTTCTTATCAGATCAGATACATCGTTAGATCCAATAAAGAAGAAGAGAAGCTTTGGTGAGAGGACGGGTGTTAAATCGAAAGAGAATTAAAACCAAGGGCAGTGGAAAGCCCGGTGAAAGTGTGCATGAGCTGTATTTGTGCAGGAAATGAGAAAGCCCTCCTAGTCCATCTACATCCAATGTTAAAGGACACTGGGATTCTTCAGTCAGTAAGCACACAAAAACCAGCGTGCATTCAGAAGTTTATTCTCTCCAGACTGTGCATTCAGAACTTTATTCTCCTGGATGAACCTCACAAAACATTACTCGAGAACACAGTCAGGGAGAAATAACCTGATCAGAGCAAAAAGCTGCTTTCTGAGATCACATTCTGACATTTTTTTAATACCTACACCCACCCTCACAACAAACAAGTCACACCCTGACACGGAAACTGATGTGACAAGTGTAAATGGTGCTAAAATGCTAAAAAGATGGAGCACGTACCCCAGGTCACTTCATAGTTGTATCTTTTTATAACTCTTCCCAGTTTCACAATCCGATCTTTACTTTCACCAAATACGCTATCCTCATTCTGTTTTCCTTATATCACATTCGGTTTTAAAATCTGCCCTGTAATTTTTCACATTCCAAACACGGTCTCTTTGAGAACAACAAGTGATACACTGAGGTTGGACTGGTATTACTCAGAAACCTCTCAAGTCATTTCTAGAGCCGGGGTTCACCACTTGCCCTGAGATGCAAAGGCTGGTGACATAAGGCGCTAAGATCACAACTGAGATACTCTCCCCTGGCAGAAATTCAACAATCCTTTTGACAAGGGACAAATAAAGTATTATGGAAACTTGTAAATAATTATATTCATATTTATGACCTGGTGTCAAGTCATTAATAGCTATTTATGCCACAGCAAGGATGAACTTTGTCCTGTGTGATTCTGCTGCCACTAAGGCAGCACTCAGAGTGGTTTGGGTGACCGCAGAGCTACAGAGCCTATGAGACCTCAGTACCTTGTGGGGTGCCAAACATGATGTTAACAGTGCAAGAGCGGTGAACTTGATGCTGCTGGGTGATGACAATGGCAAAAGGAGACCCTCCTCTGCTCACATCGTCCAGGGCTTGCGTCAGTGACATCTCTGTGTTGAGGAAGATGAGGTCCACTACCATGCCCAGATCCCGCACCTTCCGCCCCACTGACTCCGCGTACTCCCTACCACAAAGCAGAGCCAGCAGAGTTTAACAAGTCAGTCACATACAGGAACAGAAACCCTGGCACATTCACCCTCTCCATCATCTCAGATTTGATTTTCTGATGGCCTGCCAAACTTCGTAGCGTTTAACGGGACAGTAGTAAAGCAATCTCAGTACAATAATACTAAAAGCCCAGGTCCTACCCTTATTTTGACCTGAATCAGTCATTTCAGTGTAACAGAAATAGATTACAGATCAAGCCTCAGCTTAGCCAAGAAACAGAGTGTTTGCAAAGGGATTTACACTATTATAAATTTGCTTACACAGAAGCATGTTTAAACTGAAGTCATTAAGTGAGGTAATTTATGCCTGCAGAGATCTAAAGGGTACACAGCAGAGCAACAAACCCACAGGAGTCAGTTACTTGTGCTACATTCAGTATCTTAACTGTTCAAATATGCCTTATCCTAATTAACCGTAGCACAGCCCAACTTCTGGAGTTGAAGATTAATTTTCAGAAAAGAACTACCCATCCATAAACATTCACTTGAGTTCCAAACACATGTTCTCTTGCTCTTTTGTTCCACCAGCTGCTTTCCACCCTAACCCAGTATCAACACAGCACCGAGGGATCCACTGTTCCTGTATCTATGGTGCTGTAGACTTCCCATCCCAAACACAAACCTGAGCTCATGCGGTTGAGCCTGAAGTTTTCAAGTCTTTATTTTTTAAGCTTATTTTAATCAGTACCAAAACCGCAAGGATTTCTGAATTACGCTGATTGTGTATCTAAGTTATTCAAGAGCCACCTTTCAACAGGTCTATGGTAGGTGACATCAGTGCTTCAATACCCAAGATTTATTAACATGCTCCTAGGGTTTGTAGCTGTTACAGACCAAAAAGGGTTAAGGAGACAGAACTTTAGATTTCACCTTGACAAACATTTTCTTCAGACCCCAAGTCAGATCTATGATTTATTTACATCTTTGCTATTCTTCACTACTTTTATTTGTTAAGATACAGATCTGGTGCCATCATTCCAACCCCCCTCCCACTGTGCCAGGCATAGGTGTACCCCTCTGTCCCCAACACAGCACCCACTCTCCAAACTAAGGCCGTTCTAACTTTTTTGACAGAAGACCCTTTGACTCCAAAAATTGTTTTAAGACCTTACATTCCAAGAGCAAGCACACCGTTCTGGAGGGATTGCCTGCATTTTTGGTTTTAGATAAACGATCTTGCATTTAGCACAATAAAAAGGCATGCTGTGTTTGAGTGGGGACAGCTCAGTAAACCTTCAGACTGTCACATGAGATTGTCCCAATTACTACTTAAGACAGGCTTTTGGTATCGTTCATGACTGTTTTCAGCAGTGATTTTATATTTCATGCATGTCGGATTAATGGTATTGACTGGTATCAGACCTAGTAACCAGCCTGACAGGAGCTCTGAAACAAACCCCCCGACACGACTCCACCCCAACAACTGCTCTGAACCACCTGCTGCCTGGCACATATGAATAAATTCCGCATCAGTCAACCCACGAATAACAAGCAGAGGCCACTATAACCTGTCGTGACAGTAGGCTGATAGGAAGAGTAGGCAGAAAAGTATAAGGAGAAGATATAGTGAAGGAAATAAAAGTGAAGCACTAGATACAACATTTCTCCATCTCATTAACATATATTCCCATCAACATATCTTCCCATATCTACTCAGAAAGCTGTCACTTCCTGAAATTTCTCCATCTCATTAACATATATTCCCATATCAACATATATTCCCATATATACTAAGAAAGCTGTCACTTCCTGAGGGCTCTAAAGCCACGTTCCTCAAGAGCAACCCATAACACAAACAGCCTCCAGGCAGGACTAAGTTTAATTCCATATTCTTGTACCATGCAATAACAAAACTTGTCCTAACTATTTTCTTACTTGGTCTGTTTATTCACCACGATCACAGAACAATCCACAGGTCTCTCTGCATCAAAACGCCTCTTGATTTCCTCGTAGTACTGACGGTACAGCTCCTCTCGGCGCCGCTCCTCACGCTTCAGACGGTCTGAAAGCAAACCACAGGGACAGAACACATCATGCCCTTTGGATCTGCTTGGGGCAATGAGGTGCACACGGCTGGTCTGTCTGAATCTCTGAACCAGAGAACACAACGCACTCAGCACCGCGGGCATCTCCCGCATCCTCCCAGAGGGAGAACGTGAATCTGCTCATTATAACGTTACGGGTGCTCACCGTCTGAATTCACTGGAGCTCTATCAAAATGCTCTTTGTAACGGTCGTAGTAAGAGTCATCCTTCCGCCGACAGTAGTCGTCCATGTGAAGGTAACGGTCATAACCTTCATCTCGTCTGCAAGATTTAGAGAAGAAGCAAGGGTTTCCATGCTCCAGCACAACCTCAGGCCAGAACTTTGGCGAGCGCATCGCACACAGACCTCCCTCAAGTTTAATTTCTGAAGTACCCACCTGCTCTTCACAAGACACAAAGCAGGTAACTGACTGTCAACAGTCAGAGCAATTTCCTCATCTTAAATGCCTGACATGACTCAAATCAGTGCAGCCACTGAGACGGGATCGCCATAAAAACGTGTTGGCAAATAGAATCCCATGGAAATTACCTGTACAAAGGGTCCCGAGGATCTCTCATATCCCGTGGATCCCTCATATCCCGTGGGTCCCTCATATCCCGTGGGTCCCTGTATCGATCGTACAGTGGCTCCCGTGGGTCACGAAGATCTCTAAGATCACGAGGGTCCCTCAAGTCTCTTGGGTCCCTGATATCCCGTGGGTCTCGCATGTCCCGCCGGTCCCTGTGGTCTCTGGCGTCACGCATGTCTCTGGCTCGAATGTCTCGAGCGTCTCTGGAATCTCGGCCGTTTCTACCATCCCTGCCATCCCTGGGGTCTCTCCGTGGACTCCCCCGAAGAGGAGAGCGGTCACGTCTGGCATCTCGGCCATCCCCATAGGCATACGGTTCTCTGTGGAAAAGAGCAGGGAAATCCCATTAGACTGCTAACGACGTGAGTGCTGTCACCCCTATATCTCTTACCTGAGGTGCCAAAATGACCCTTCTCTCAGCAGCTGAATCCTCCCTCCTATCCCACAACAGCAAGAATTGCCAAAAAAACCATATTTGTTGAAGGAGCCTGGGGAAGCTTCTTAATTCTAATGTTTATCATAGCCAAACAAGACCCCGAAAGCTCCTTAATGAAGCATCCCTAAAAGTGTAGAGCGCCTGTGGAAGGAGTGAACAGGCACCTCGGAAACCACCATTTCAAGGCCTCTGACATCAGCCACAGACCACCTACCAAACATATTCTTGTGAATTCTTTGAGAGAATTCAAGGTGCTGGAGACTAATACGCAATAGCCAGGAGCATTCAAGGGATCCATTAAATTCACTAGTCAATGACAGCGGAATAACTGAAATAATTTGTTATTGGCATATGATTAGAAAAGGAGCTTGTTGTGACCAAAGACACTGCAGGTTCCATGGTGTGGTTGGGTTTGTGCTGTTAGCAGAGCAACGACAGCTACTGCCATGTCCTGGATTTGAAGGGATCGTGTCTGTAGAAAGCCAGTCTTTTGTTTACGATGCCCTGTGTTAGGAGGGTACAAAACCCAACCAGCATGGCATCCTCAGCAGCAACAGGCTTCTCTGTCCCATCTGAATGATCCATCTCATTCAGACTTTGTACCACGCTGTCTTCGGAGGCAAGGAAGAATAATGTTCCAGTCTTCATCTTTTCCCAAAACAGCAGGCTTTTTTCCAGGTCATATTTTGTTTTCCAGAAAAAAAACGTTAACTTCACTGTAGTCTAAGCCAAAGATAAAAATCTTGCAGAGTAACTACTGAGCTTCATATGTTTGGAATGTTCCTTGCCCAAGATACTGACAACCATCAGAAAAAAAAAACCCCATCTTTTTGAATCTTTTTATTTCCAAAACTTGACAAATTTTAAGAGTCCTCTACCAGCCTAATCAGTTTATGAAAGATAAGCATAATATAAGCCTGCTTCCACTCTAGTGCATTCACGTAGCAGTCACCTGGAGAGACCTGCAGGGAGTCAGATGTGCCCAAGTTCTGTGTCAGGTAGAGCAGACAGCGTGCCCAGTCTGAGACACGAAGTGCTGGAATTCTCTATTTTTGTCAGATAAAAACAGATCTTGGCAAAAACTTCAGTGTTGCCACTAAGAGAATATACAGTCTCCTCCTGTAACAGAAACACTGTATTTGTGTAAACAAAGTGTAAACACCCTCATCCTCTTGGACACACAAATCCACTTCTTGTTTGTGATCTGTACTGAAACCACATCCCATGAGAGATACACGTCATCGCCCGCTTCCCCCCAGCCTACAATGGACAATGGCAGGAGCTCAGGGGAAACTTCTGATTTGTTCTAATGGATATCGAGTAACTGATCTTTGTGCAGTCCTAAGACTATACAGCAAAAGAGCCAGATGCAGTGTTATTGTTTGGCATATGACATTTATTCCAGCTGGCGTGGGGGTGACGAGAACAGGCCATATTCAGGAGCTGCAGAGACAAAAAGGATCCAGAGTGAACAACACACAACTGGGAGAGGAGTAGAGAGGTGGCGCGGGTCCCCTCCGCTCTTGCACCCGCATGGCTGCCCGGCAGCTCGCAGAGAGGCAGCAGCACCAAGGCAGAGCAGCCTTCTGCTTCCACGCCTCTGTCACCACGGTCCGACTCCTGGAGCACCAGCACCACCGGCCACGTGTGCTCGGGACTCAGCACGGGATCCACAGGCCAACCTCAGCAGCTGCTGTTCACACACCTGCAGCGTGGTCCAGACTCCATCGTCGTGCCCAGGACTTGATGCCTGTGACCTTATTGCCACCCGTGGGGCTGCTTGGGACTCGGTGTTAGCAACACGGGCTGGTCCCAGTGTCTGCAGTGCCAGCTGCAACCCAGCGCCTTCACAGAGGCACCAAAGCCTTCGGCAGCCTGGTGATAGTCCAGTCCACAGCCTGGTGCCCAGGGCACCACTGCCCCTGGCTCACGCACCTCCAGTGCTCCTCAGGGCCCGTGACGTGGGCATCTGCTCTTGCATGCACACAGGATGACACAGGTCCCGATGCCTATGGCATCAGTGCCTGCTGCTTGTCCCTCTGCAGTGTGGTCCAAGGACCAACACTCACGGCATAGGTGTCTGCCTCTTACACCCACCATGCTGCCTGGGACCATCAGCGTTAGACACCTGATGGCCAAGGACGTGCCATCAGCACCTGCTGCTCAGGTACCTGCAGTTTTCTTGGGGTCCCCATGGCAGGACTGAGCACCCCTGATGCTGCCCAGGCCCAAGGCTTAACCCATCCATTAACAGGAAGCCCCAGGTGTGTGCCAAAGCACCTCCTGGGCGATGCCCCCACACTGGTCTCTGCAAGCACATTTGGCCCTGTGTAGGTGAAGCACAGCAAGTAAAAGAGACCTAGATGATACCACGGATTGCAGCTACTCATTCTCTGGCTTTTGGTGGTAGGTGTGTTGCTCTTGGCACTTTTTCCCCACTTTTGGTAATGGAACAGGCCAAGTTATTAGAGAGCACCAGACGCATGAGAGCTTGACTACCTTCAGGTCCAAAAGGCAACACTCCTTTGTGTTGAGAGCTTTACAGTACAGGGACAGAAGATGCACATCTTGCATCAAAGTGTAACCACAGCGTGTCTTCATGTGCTCCCCAGTAATGCCGTGGAAAGGAAACTGATGTTGTCTTCCTGTGACAGGAGAGTCCATGCCTTCTCCAGTCACCAGTGATTTCACACACACAAGACGTGGAGGAGGCTGTGCCTACCGAGGGGTGGGAAGCCAGGAGAAGGCAGCAGGTACACACCACTTTGCAGAGATCAGGACTGGTTGCAGGTACTGACAACACCAGCACACATGTGGACAGGACAGTGCAATGGAAACTGTCATGTGCTTTGCTCATGTGCTCTTTTCCAGTCTCATTTCAGCACTGGAAGCTTTTGACATCAGAAGAGGCAAGATCCCAAAGTCCTCTGCAGCGTGGCACTGGGAATGCTACAGCCCCTCGGCGTTCTCTAGATATGCCTCAGCTTCTCTGACACTTGAGGCAGGAGAAAAGATGCATCAAGTGTATTCTTCCTCACAAGTCTTTTACAGCCTGTGCTGCAAAACAGAATGCTTAGCTGTAGTAACAGCAGCAGACACGAGGTTTCCCTCGTGCCTCCTGAGGTGTCAGCGCCAGAAGGGCTCTTAGAGGTGGAGCGGTCACGTCCCAACTGTCGCGCTTGAGCATCTCCGTTTGACTGGGGAGGTGGCGGAAGGGAAGAGACACAGACATTTAGCACAGGCCACAGGGCTCGTGCCCTAAAAGCCTGACCTTCCTACTATAACTCACTGCTTCCAGGTACTTTACCTTCGTGCCGGACTGGACCTTGATGAAGCCTTATTCATATTTCTTCTTTCCACTGCTTTTTTAATATCTGTAAAGAATAATCAACCCATCTGTTCAATGCTATGGAACAAAAAAAAGATCATCAGCACAATTCAAATGAAAGCAACTTAAGCTCAACAACATCCAGATGGTGCAAGAAAATCCATTCAGCAGAGAGACATTGTCACTTTGACATTTTTTTATTAAGTTTAGGTAGTACAACATAATGAAATTTTAATGGATTTCTCTGACTTCAAAATAGGGTGGACAGCTTGGGTGAAGGTTTAACCCTTTACATTCAGGCCTACATCTAGACTCTTCATTCCATAACAGAACCTCTTTCTTCTGCAGCCTATGAGGGAGCAGAAAGCGACTCATGGACTGTAGGAGAAAAAGCAGAGTCTCAAAAATCTCCAAAAAAGGAAGCTGATGGCCAGCACGGTCTTAAGTTCACAGCCAGTCCTGTTCAATGGAGCATGCTGCTATTCTTGTTGAAAATAACCCAAGGGTTCTCAAGTGGCACATGCAACTGTCTCCCAGGGGACTGCTGCAGCTAAGTTGTACAGCCTCCACCAGTGAGGAAATGGGATCCAAGGAGCCAGAAGAACAAGCTCCTTATGAAGTCAACATGGTGCATTCAAAACACCACTGTTACCGTGATGCAAACTGATCCAACGGATCAGAAATTTGAAAACTGGTTGGCTTCTGAGCATCTCCAGGAAAAACACCATGAAGTGAAACACAAAGAAGTAAGAGCTGAAGAAACAGAGTCTTGTCCTCAACCAAAAAAAGTGAAGTTGCCCAGAACTGGCAGGGACCCATATTGGTCTATTGTGAAGAAACAAAGTGTAACAGGTGATTGGAGATGAAATAGTGAACTGGAGAGGGGGGCAAGGACAAACAGAAATGATTTCAGATGTTTTACTCTGAGAACCTTTTAAGGAAAAGAACAAAACAAACCTAGTGCCTACCTGCTCCCTGAGAATCTATTGACAATTAAAATGTCTTATTTACATTAACTCCTTTCAAAGCTCTTGCAAGTGAATAAACACGCCCCAATGTCTTTAGGCAGACTCAGTCTTAACATCTTCTGTGACTTCCCAAACTATCCTTCATTACTTTCAAGATTAAAATTAGAATTAAGGGATTAGTTCTAATTTTTGCTCTTGCTGTCAGTCAAGCAGCAGCATGTTCTTTTGCGGGGGGCTGGGGAGAGGCAATCTGGACATTAACTACAAATGCAGCATAAGAACATTCACAGGAAATGTTGTTTCACACCACAAAGCAGTCCCTCCGGGATCAAATACAGCTGCATTGTCTACTGTCACAAAGTAAATTGGGTGGACATTTATTCCCTACACAGTTTTAGTCATTAAAGGATAGGAAAACACTTCTATGCATTTGTGGAAGTATTAGTATAATGCAACATTGGAGGTTAAACTCTCCCAAGGCCTCTTCCTGTGTTATTAGCAATTAGATTTAATACTCAGCCTGCATAACTGAAGCAACTGTTCTTGCATTTATTTTTTAGTTGAGAAATTTTTCCCCCTTAAGTCAAGTGTTATCTTTAAACAAGACACTATCTGCTTTCTTTGGTTTAAGATTATTTTTATTTTCTGTTTTAAGATGCCATTGCAGAAACCTATTATTTTTACACTCAATACCATACATTTCTTTCAAATAAAAAAAAATGTATTTAAATCTGAACAAAAATAGTTTACTAGAAGAAAAAACACCTTTGACAGGGATCCTTCTCTTGTGCAAAACGAAGAGATTTAATAATGTTTTATTTAATGCCAACAGCATTTACAGGTTAAGCATTTGAACATTGACAAAGCTTCCAAGAAAAAAATTAGTCTTCCATCCTGTAGGATTTTGAGATGACAGGGACACTGTAATCATACAGTGTAACCTTCTGAATAAACACAGGTGACAAGAGTTTCTTGAATCACATTCCTATCTCAAGTGCAGCAGTGGCACTGAACTAGAGCTTATCTTTTAGCAACACATCCAATTCCAATTTAAAAGTCTCCAGAGCACAGAAACCACCAAAGCTCCAATAAATTATTTCAGAAGCAAATTACTTTGCTGTTAAACAAAACTATTTATTTCCATTTAAGGCCTTGTCATGCCTATGCCCACTAGATTAAAACTCACTTATCTCCAGGTCTCTGTGACACACAGATCATATCACTCCTCTATCTTGAGGCTTTTTCTATGGCTTGTTCTTCAACTCTTTAAGCCTTCTTCAGATTTTTCTGAGACTTCCCCAATTTATCATTATCCTTTTTGAACCAGGCAAACCAGAACTGAATACAGTATTTCAACAGCAAAACCCCACATGTACCAAAACCTTCCTTCTTACAAAAAATAAATAAATAAATAAAAATCATCACTCTTGTTGGTTACAGATCTTCCCTTTTGGCTTTACTGAAAGCTCAGTTCTGCCTGCACACAGCTTAGGAAGACGTCCAAGTCATTTCACCATCAGCAACTCAATCTTCATTATTTCATTCTCTTTTTAAAACATGATTGTGTGTTTTCTTTCCAAGTCACTTATAAAAGCACTGTGTGGCCAAGAATCAATTTTTCCAGAACACAACTCAAAGCACTGAGCAATTCAATCTATGTTACACGGGGATTCATTTGAAATCCATTTAACCCTCTGTTGCTTTTAATTGTTCTAGTTTCTTAATCAAATCAAACATCTTACAGAGGTATTTTACATCAACACTGCTACTTTCAGCCATAAAACTTGCTGTATCACAAGAATAAGTTAGCTTGACAGGATTTATTTTGATTGGCGTTAATTAATTCACTTCTCTTTGAGAGTCAGGTGAAAGAATCCCTTTGTTACCAGGGACTGATGCCAGGCTTATCCCATTTGTGCTGCCCAGTGGCACATCTGCAGAGCTCTGCTAGGTCCCTGGAAACTCCCTAGTTTTCCAAGGCCTGTGGAAAAACAACATTAATAGCCCAGGCAGGTCTTCATTTCACCGAGCCTCACAGGTGCTAGATTTAATTTTTTGGGGAGGTGTAGTTTTGATGCTGTTTTCCCTTCCTTAGCTTGCTATTAAAATGGAAGTTATATTAAAACCACCTTCTGCCTTTTCAAAAATAGACAGCAGAAACACTAACTGAAGACTAGGTGGTCCTTTCCAGTTAGAAAATTTATCATTTCCAGACAGGCACACCTTGGCTTCTAAAACAGCCACACTTGTTCCTATTTAAGCTTCCAGACTTTGACAATGCTGGCCTAATTTCCTCTCGTATCCTTCTACCCTCCTTGTCTATTTGCCTCCACTTCCATCTTCAGGGTCATATTTGCTACTGCATACACACCTTCCTACAAGTTATTATTTATTGCTCCTTTCATTCTCCCTCCTTGTCTATTTGCCTCCACTTCCATCTTCAGGGTCGTATTTGCTACTGCATACACACCTTCCTACAAGTTATTTATTGCTCCTTTCATTCCTTTCTAAGTCAAACTGTTTCTCTCCAATTTAGCATAGGCTTACTTCAAAAGTCATTTTTTGCTTGCATTTAATAGACTACTCTTAGATTTCTAACCATTCATTTCTGTTTAAGTTTGCTCCCAGCATATTTAGCAGAATTATTTTCATCTTTATGGAAACAGCTTTTTTTTTTTAAAGCACCTAGTATTTATAGCACTACTTACAGATTGATTTCACATGTGCAAAAAAATCCAAATTAAGATTACTTATCTAACAAGCCACTAAGTGCTGTGGCCAATTCCTCTGAACCTGTCACGATGAAAGCCAATATTGGTTTAGAAATGTTTTTGGAACTACGTGCATGAGGTTGCAATGACCATTTCCCAAGGCTGACATGTTGAGCGGTTACTTAGACAGGGCAAGAGAGCTTTTGAAATGCTAACACATAAAAATAAGTTCAGAGTAAGACCTAGGTTGCAAGAGAAAACACTGCAGATGAACCACACAGCACTTACAGCAAATAACTCAGAAAGCAAATACATACCTAGTAAAAGTGATTTTAGACTAACGCCAGGCAAGTTTGACATAGTGATCTTTCCAGAGAGCTTTAAAACAAAAAGCACTCTTTCTACCAGAATGCATGCTGGGGTCAGTAGGAGAGCACGGATCAGTTTTCCTTACCTAATCTATACCCTTTATAAAGGCGACCCTTCTCACCGTCCAGAGCGGCCTGGACATCTTCTAGACGGTCATACTGCACGAACCCATAGCCATGGTACATGCTGAGGGCTGGAAAAATTAACAGCAGGGCAAGACCAGTTACAACTAAGGGACAGTACTAACCCACACCCAGGCCATCACCTAACCCCACCAGGAGAACGAGCAAAGGGGCTCTACCCAAACACCACTACAGGAGTTTCCTGGGAAAACCAAATCTACCAGGATCAAAACACAGAGCTCAAAGACTCTGAAATGAATTTCATAGATTGACTTCCTTCTGACAAGGCAGTGACCAAAATACAGCTGATGAAGTGACCAAGATTTGATTAAGAGATTATGAAGTCGCTTGAAAGAATACTGTAACGTCACACTGCAACCCCAAAAGCTAAAACATAGCTGGTATATTCATTATGTTTCAGCTGTACTGAAGAAATCACTTTTTTAGAGAAAATGCAGACAGAGAAAATTATCATTAAAAGGTCACTTTTTAGGAACATTAGTCACTCCTCTCATCATCATCAAATAGCATTTGACAAGCATGAAAGTTATATTTCTCACTGAATTCCCAGCCACGAAAAGGCATAAGATAATATACTAACCCCTGATTTTGCCATATTTTGAAAATATCTCTTGCATTTCTTCACGAGTCATGTGGTCTGTGGGCAAATTGCCGATAAAAAGTCTTCTCTCTAAATCCTGAGGATTGGTGCTGTTAGTGAAGTCGCTCTGATTGATGCTATTGCTCTTGCGTCCTCGAGCCATTTTGCTTTCGTTCCAAATCCAACTCTTCGCAAAAAAGAAAAACGGCCATGCATATCATTTCAATCCATGACATTAAAATTAAACTGGAACAAGATTAAACTTAACAGCTTTGCAGACTAAAAGCCAACTGGGTCTGCTTGACGCAAACTTCACTCCAGAGAAATCTTAACACAAGGGATACAGAGGTCTGGCAAAAACGTATAGCGCAGCATTTTGATTGAGCTTTTCTGTAATACCAAAAGGTAGTAAACCTAATTGTTTTGCAGATTAAATTTTAATGGTTTAACTCTAAACTAAGATACAAATAAAACTCATTTTCCACTAAAACCTCTTAACTTTAAGCTTTAATACACCCATTGTTGTCATATCTATTTCTTCAGTCCATTGGTAAGAAGTGTTGAAATTTATGCAATATTTTAATAAGCGGAAAGGAAACACTCATCGCAACATTGCATAACAGGTCCCAAATATTTTGATACAGGCTTTGAATGAGACATCAGGAAGTACTGTTTAAATGCTTTTAAGTGACCAGGCTTGGATCACTTCATTTGATGTGAAATCTTAGCTTTTCAGTACCAGAAAACCAGAGTTTCTCATTCATACCCCTACTAAACATATCCTTGTCCCCATAGAGACGTCAGCTCCCACAGAAGGCGGGTCCAGAGCTGGGAATTGAACCACCCCCACATAAATGCTGTGCTGCTACCTCATCTCCCCCAGTACTGCAAAAATTCCACTCCTGTCCTGGTTTCAGCTGGGAGAGAGTTCATTTTCTTCCTAATGGCTGCTGTGTTTTGGGCTTAGTATGAGAATAATGTTGATAACACATATTGTTTTATTTGTTGGACACCACACTCAGCATATAAATAGGGGTTGACCCAGGGGGGGGAAATCAGTGCAGATTAATCATCAGGTGGTGAGAGCAACCTGTGTTGTACCAATTTATTTTTGTGTTTTCTTTTACCATTATTGTTACTATTTTCTTCTTTTGTTACCATTCTATTAAACTGTCTTTATCTCAAGCCACAAGGTTCCCCCCACCCCTTCAGAATAATGTTGATAACACATATTGTTTTATTTGTTGGACACCACACTCAGCATATAAATAGGGGTTGACCCAGGGGGGGGAAATCAGTGCAGATTAATCATCAGGTGGTGAGAGCAACCTGTGTTGTACCAATTTATTTTTGTGTTTTCTTTTACCATTATTGTTACTATTTTCTTCTTTTGTTACCATTCTATTAAACTGTCTTTATCTCAAGCCACAAGGTTCCCCCCACCCCTTCCTCCTCTCCCTACCCTACCAGGGCTGAGCAAGCGGCTGCGTGGTCCCAGTTGCTGGCTGGGTTTAAACCACGACAACTTCATTAGCCCACACTACAGCAGACAAAGCTGGAGCAGTCAGCAACATTCACTGCACAGACTTACCCAGTGAATTACAGCAAAAAAACCCCACCAAACAAAAAACCAACATAAACTCACCATGTTAGCAAAAAACCCCCACTAAATCCCACCCAGGATTCATATTTTCCGGTTTAAAAGTCACCATTACATAAAGCTTTAAAAAAAAAACAACACCAAAACTTTAAACTTTCAATATGAACTTTGAAAGCTATTTAATAAAGTGGTCATACTTCCTAAACATCTACAGGAATGAAGGGTGGGATCTTCTGTTTATAACATGCAAGAAACCTGGAAAAAGAAAACTAATGAAATTGTGTATAGCAACAGAAACGTCTGCTGTTAATCATGAGATGCCTGTAACCAACACACTCTATTACAGTAACCTGTATTTGTTACAATTTAAAAGTAGCCTCTAAATAAACAAGTCAAATGTCCAAAAATATAAAATGGTTTTACGTAAGTATTTCTACAACACTTAAGTGGCACAAAAAATACATCTACTCCAGATCTGACACATAGAATTTAGGTAGGTTTTTTGTTTGTTTGTTTTAAGATCAATGAACTTTACACTGGAATCACTTTCCTCCTCCTTTTAGGAAACCCTGCAGGGATGGGAGGCAGAGAACACCTACCAGTCACCTAATAAACTTCTTTAAATTAACAGAGCTGCCAGAACAGGGAGGAAGAAGAAAAAAACCCAATACTCAAACCAAAAATCAAACAAAAAAATCATTTATTCTACCACATTTGCCTCTATCCTCCTGTAAGTTTGTCCACAGACACACAGTTTTATCTTCCCCAGCAGAAGTACCAAATCTTATCCTGTTTTTCTGTGTGAAAGCAATAGATTTCTCTTCTATTCTACTACTGCAGCTTGAGTTCTCATCACTTGAGGGGAAAGAAGTTTTCAAAATTCTCCCAAAATGATTAAGTGGCTACAAAACATGGAAAAACCCATCTAGTCCAAGTTCCCATTTGGAGCAGGGTGACATCCGAGTCGGATCCCGTTGTCACAGCCTTCTCCAGCAGGGTTCCCAGCACCACCAGGGATGGAGACTCCAGAGCCCCTGCAAGTACCTGCTCAGGCAGCACCACCTGTGCCTACAGCCTCAGGATGTCACACGTACACACAGCAAACAGCAGTCAATGAGACCCGTAACTGCTGCTGGCAGGACATTTCACTTTCAGTATAAAAAGCAGCAAGAACTTCCCTTTCCTTTTTCTTAAGGGTGGGGACAGTAGGGAGTGGCCGGGGAACAGGGTGCAAGAGTTTTCCACATGAAGAAAAACAGGGAACTATTTTTCCACCTGCAGGTCACTTTCAAAGCAAAACAATAGATCTCAAGCACTCAGACAGGCTGAATTACGACAGAACTTTCATATATTGTCCCTTACCATTTTACACTTGGTAGATTACATAGTTAAGGGCCATTTTGTAATCACAACACCACTCTCAGTTAATGTTGTCCCAGCTTTAGGCACATGACACCAGGTGAATGACTAATTTCCACATTAAGTCTTTTTCTACAAATGCAGCCAGGGAGACCAACCACGCACCTGGGCAGCTTAAAGGTGCCAGCCCCCCCCTGCAGAAACTGAGCCCCAGGCTGAGCAGGTTATTACAACAGCACAGCCCACACGAGCTCATGTGCCAGTAAATCCTCACGAAGTTAATTAAAGCCCCATCTCCCTAAAAAAAATCTTATGTTTAAAAATGGAACATTTTATTAGGAGCGATACAGCTTCAGAGAGCAAGACAGAGCTGAAGTGGGATGTGTAAACTAATTTGACACAAGCAAAACACGACACAGAAGTCTCCAAGAAGTTCCTGGGCAAGGCAAAAATAATAAAGCCAGCCACCACAGAAAGGAAGGATGCTGAGGAGTGGTGAGCTTCCCACCCAGCACCGGCTACTGGCTCTCAGAACCTCGGAGCCAAGCCCCACCAGGCCACCACCCCAAAGGTCAGGCCAGGGGCCAAGAGGGCCGTTCTGGGACAGCACCAGCACCCACCCACCTTGGTCCTCTGCGCCCAGGACAGCAAGCAGACACAGAGCTGCCCACAAGGAAAACACGGAGAAGGCTTTCACCTTCCTCCCCCAGGACCCTGCCATCTCTGCTGGGAGAACGCCAGCCAGGCTTCTCAAAGTGCAGCTGCCCAGGGCCCTCCTCGCCTGCTCTGCCCCACATCTTTGTCACTACTCGGGGCTTTCTCAAGCAGCAGTAAGGGGAAAAAAACCCCACCACATCCCTGACGCCTCGCTAATGCCAGCGAAGCCCTCAGAGCAGGCCGGGGGTGCTGCCGGGGGCTGCGCTCTCCACGACACCGAGAACGACATCACCCGTTGCCCATCTCGACTGGGAAAAAGGCGTTTTTCAGCCCCACGAATCCCGCGTACCGCCCGGCCCCAGGCCGCCGGGGGAGCGGACGAGCTCCAACAAGCCCCAGCTTCCCGGAGGCGCCGAGGCGGAGGCGCGGCCCGTTCACAGGCCACGGGGCCCGCCCGGATCAGCCCCAGCCCGGCGCGGCGGCCAGAAAGGACTCAGCCCTCCGCGAGGTGCGCTAGAGCACGTCTTTTATTCGAGCGCTCCCGGTAAACCCTCACCGGCGCCGCGGGGCCGCCCGCACGCAGACTTACCGCCGCGCCGGGCCCGGTCCGCCTCAGGCCGCCGCCCGCCAGGACAAAGGCGCCACCCGCCGCTGCCGCACGGCGCCGTCGCAAAGCCGAAGGGGGGGAAGCGCCGTCGGCATGGCGACGCCTCGGCGCTTTACGGCTCAGCACGACGACGCACGGCCCGCCGCCATGCCTGCCGAGGCGTGCGGAGCTGCGCGCCTTGCCTGGCTCCCGGCGTGCCCCGCGAGCCGCCGCTAGGCATGATGGGATTTGTAGTCTTGAGGGGGTGGCGGAGGGATAGGCCGCTGGGTGGCGACATCAGACCCCGCTCGAGGCGAAGAGGGGCGGGGCGGGCGGGACCGGGACCGGGACCGGGACCGGACCGGGCCGGGGCGGGGCGAGGTGTTCGGGACCGAGACTGGAACCGGGTCCTGGACCTGGACCGGGACCGAGACCGGGGAGGGGCAGAGCGGGGCGAGGCGGTCGGGACCGAGACTGGAACCGGGTCCTGGATCTGGCCCGGGACCGGGGCTGGGGGGGGCAAAGTGTCCGGGACCAGAAAGGGACCGGGAGCATACCGAGACTGTGACGGGGAACAGGGCAGGGCGGGGTGGCCGGGACCGGGATCGGGACTGCGACCGGGGAGGGATAGGGCCAAGTGGTCGGTACCAGACCGGGACTGGGACCGGGACCAAGACCGGGAGCGGGGCGAGGTGTCCGGGACCAGAAAAGGACTGGGACCATACCGAGACTGTGACAGGGAACAGGGCAGGGCAGGGTGGCCGGGACCGGGATTGGAACTGCGACCGGGGAGGGATAGAGCCAAGTGGTCGGTACCAGACCGGGCCCGGGACTGGCACCGGGGTGGGGCGAGGTGAGGTGGCCAAGCCCGGGGCCGGTCCGGGCCCTCCCCGTTGCCGTCGCACCCCCCAGCGCACGGGCCGGGCCCCGCGGCCGCCCCAACCCGCAGCACCCGCACTGACCAGCCCCGCCGCCCGGGCACCGGCACCGGGGAGCGCTGGGAAATGTGGCCGGTGCCCTGCGCTGTGGGGACTTCCCGGGCCGGTCCCACGGGAGGAGGGCTCAGGAATCCCCCTCCCCACCTGTGCCTCCCCGTCTCTGCCCTCGATTCTCCCCCGGGACCCTTCACGCTCTCGAGCGAGTCATTTTTGGGAAGTGACGGCAGGACGGGGAATCCAGAGCACGCGGCTCCTGCGGCCACCGCCAGCCCCGCCGTCCCCCTCGGGGAAGCACGCTGCCCTCCGCTCCCACCGTAGCCACCGGGTGAAGGCCACGGGCAGCAGAACCTCTGAGCCGGGGCTGAGGCCATGACGGTGGCCAGGATGGCTGTCGAGGAGCGTGGCCACACGGGCATCACCGCGGCGTGGCCACGGTGGGAGCAGTGTGTGCCACCAGGATGCTGAGGAGCCGCCTCTCCCTGCCTGGTCACCCACCCCACTGGGAAGGAGAACCCGGGGAAAGTCTCCAGAGTGGACAAGGGGGGGGCTGGAACTTCCCAGGGGACCGCATGGGGACTCCTCCAAGGGAACTGAGCCAGAGGCGGGTGACGGGTCGGAGGCACAGCCAGGCCTCCAGCGCTTTTGCCCCTTCCCATTTCTGGGCTGACGCATCGATGGGGACTCCGTGCTGAGCCCAGGGCCTGCGGGCAGCCATGAGGGGCTCTCCAGGGCCGCAGCCCCGAGCTGTCGTTGAGAAAACGAAGCGAAACCTCCAAACTTCTGCTTCAGGAATGAGGTGGCGGGGCCAACACAAACGTTTTCCTCGCCGTGGCCCACAGCTGGCTCCTGCCACTTGCCTGCACCCCCTTCACCCCGGGAAGGTGCCAGCAGGGCAGCGGCTCGGTGGGGCTGGCAGGGAGCAGGACAGGAGCCCCCCATCCCACCTCCAGCAACACATCCATCCACACTAAGCCACCACCACCCCATAGGGTCCCCCAGCCCCAGCGACCCCGCCGAGCCCCCCGGGGAGGAGGGTGTCCCGGGAGGGATGGATGGCGGGGAGCTGCCCCTGGGGTGTCGTCCCCCCACCTCCTCCTTCGGCCCCGCTCTCGCCCCCCGGGCTCGGCCCCACACGGGGAAGCCCCGGGGGCGGTGGCGGGCGGCCCAACGCCCCCTTCCTGGGCGGGAACGGGAACGGGCCGAAGCAGTTATAGAGCGGGCGGGCCGCGGTGGCGGGGCACGGCGACATGAAGAGACTCGGGCTCTTGGGGCTCCTCGGCGCGGTGTTGCTGGGCGTGAGTGGGGCTGGGGCTGGGGCTGGGGTTGGCGTTGGGGTTTGGGGCGGCTCCCTCCTTTCCTCCCTCCTTTGGGACAGAGCCTCGGGGCTTTCCGGGAAAGGGCACGGTCCGGCCGCTCTGGCCCGTCCCCGGCCGGCGGAGGAAGCTCCGGTTGCGCTGCCGCCCCGCACAGCCTGAGCCAGCCGGGGTCGGGACGCCACCCCACCGGCGACCCGGAGCGGGGACGTGGGGTGGCGGGGAAGGGAGGGCAGGTCGCTGCCTGCCGTCCCTCAGCCCCACGGCTCGCTTTCGCTTTCCCCTCGGGGGAGCGGGGCGCGGCGGGGTCCCGCAGCCCAGCTCCGGGGCCGGGGCGCGGGTTCTCGGGGGCAAGGACGGGCAGCGTCGAGCCCTGCGGCTCCGCTGGGCACCGTTGGGCCCTCGGCTGGGGTCCCCCCCCAGTCTGGGGCACGGGGTGGGCGCTGGGAGGCGGTGGGGGTGTAAGGACGGGCCCTGACACTTCCCATTCTTGCCCAGTGTCAGACGTATGTGATGACGTGACCAGTTCCCCTCGGCTGGGTCTGGCGTCCCCGGGTCGGGCTTTGGGGTGTCACAGATCCCCACGGCTGTCCTGTCAAGCCAGGGCTGCCCGAGGGGCCCCACGGGGGTCTGCTGCTTGATGTAACTTGCCTGGGGCTTTCCCGTCCCCACGGGGCTAGTGCATCAGCCTTGGGAAGGAGCTGGGCACGGGAGACTCGGGATCCCCCTGCCCAGGAGCGCAGCGCAGTTGGCAGGGGCACGGGGTGATGGGAGATGAGAATCTGTTAGGAAATGTGGGGCCACCCTGCCGGAATCACTGCCACCCCACTTCAAAGAGAGCACTGATGGCATCAGGCAGCGCAGGCCGCGGTGCTGCGGTCTGTGGTTAGCGCAGGCATGGGAAAAGCGGTGGGAGGAAGCCCTCGCCTCGGGACGTGGGTTAGGGGACAGGTTAGCACACGCGTGCCGAGGCGGTGCCGGAGCGCTGGGGAGCGACACGAATCCACAGGTCTTGTTTCTTCCAGTGCTGGGAGCTGGGTGATGCCGTAAGCTGCTTTGATAAGGAGTACGAACACGAGGGAAAGTGCTGCAACCGGTGTAAGCCAGGTATGGAGACCCCTTCCCCTTCCTGTGCCAGGGCATGCTGCCTGGCCACAGCGGGGCAAGCCCAGTCCCGTGTGGCTGAGCCACACCCCACCCTTCTTGCCAGCAGCGCCGACTGCTTCACTTTGTGTCACCTCAGCGCAAGAGCCACTGGGGACCTCATGGGTGCCCTGGGAGATCCCCCGGATCTCACCGAACCTGCCACAATTCTCTTGGGACTGACTGTGCTCCTGCATCTGCAGGACCCCATGGCATGGGCTGCTTGTGGGGAGAGTGCTGCCACTGGTGCTACCAGACAGTGATGGCATTTGCCAGCTCCCTCTGTCACTCCCAGATTGTTTCCCAGACCTTGCAGTGCTGGAGGCAGTGAACACCACCCAACACTGTCTCTCTCGTCCCTGCTCTCCTGCCCCAGCACCTCCACCCGGCCCCATCCAATGTGTATAACCACCAGAGTGGCATCAGGCTACAAAGATGCTGCTTGGTAGCAACCCTGGCATCCACAGCTGCCAGTGCTCCCCTGTCCTGCTGGCAGAGCTGCTGTCTGGAGAGTAGGAAAGCCCCCTCGTCCCTTTCTCATCGGCCTCTATTACAGGGGAAAAGCTGGTCTCTGACTGCAGTGACACGAAACAGTCTAAATGCACCCCCTGTGAGAGTGAACACTATCAGCAGAGCTGGACCAAGGAGAGGCACTGTACCCCCCATGATATCTGTGAAGACAGTAAGTGCTCCCTGTGCCCACAGACCCCAGCCTGTGGGGACTGGAAGGGCTGGTGTCTCACCTCACCCATGTTCTCTTTGCCCAGACGCTGGCCTCATCGTGAAGACGCAGGGAAACGCAACGCACAACACGGTGTGCCGGTGCCGGGATGGCATGCACTGCTCTGATGCCAGCTGCCAGACCTGCGTGGAGAACCAGCCCTGCCAGCAAGGCTTCGGCTTCGTGGCAGGTGAGTCCATCCAGCTCCTTCCCCTCAGTGGGACCAGTTGACCTCAGGCCCTCCAGGGAAAGGGGGACTCCCCCAGCAAGGTGCTTCTAGGAGGGTTTTGGGAGAGCCGTGCCTGCTGCTGTGCCCTGGCAGCATTGCCAGGGGGAGGGCTGCTTGCCTGACCCCCTGCAGCCTGTACTGACCTTCCTGCAACCTCTGCTTCTCTCCAGCCAAGGCTGTGGCCCAGATGTCATCCCCCTGTGAGCCCTGTGCAGAAGGCACCTTCTCCAACGTCTCTTCCAAAACTGAGCCGTGCTATCCCTGGACAAGGTATTTTCTGAGTGCTGACCACATCCTTCACCCATCCCCAGCTGTGCCCAGTCCCTGTGAGCACACCCTCTGCTGCCAGCCTCCTTGGGGACTGGGCGGCCGGGGTGGTCTCTGAGGGACACAACATCAGGCTAGAGCAGGGCAGGACTGAGAGGAGCGGAACTATGAGGGTGGTGAGGTCCAGGGTGGTGTGGCTGAGCAAGAGGCAGACATCCAGGCCCTTGAGACTGTGCACGTGCTGAGGGACAGAATTCTGGCCCTTTCAGGGATGTTCACACCGTTGTCCGCACTGGGGAGAAAGGGATGATGGGCTTTGGGGACCCACCCATAACCTGTCCAAGCTCTCCCTCCCAGCACACTCCTTGGATGTAGTCATCAGCCAAGGCACCAGCCCCCTCCATGGGGAGTCTGGCTTTGAGAATGCCATGGGCTGGCAGGTCATCCCTGTCCTTAGAAAGCTGCTTGAGGGTTAATTGTGCTCCCTGGTAGAAACGTGAGCCTTATTTCCAGGCTGAATTAGTCTCGCTTCAGCTGCCAGCCATTGGATTTCACTTTGCTTTTATCTGTGCCCAGAAATTACCTCCCCATGGAGCCACTTGTAGCCTGTCATCGAGTCATCTCTGAGCTGTTCTGCAATAGCTGCAGTGCCTGAGCCCCAGGGTCTCCCTGACCGGGCAGGTCTCAAGTGTCTTCTCCCTCCTGTGCCTTGTCCCCATCTTTTTAGCAGTTTCAGCAGCTCCAGACCAGGACCCCGGGGTGGGGCTGTGCTTTGTACCTGTTGTCCCTCTCACGCAGCGCGGGCTCCAGTGTCAGTCAGGGTCCCCAGTGTCAGTTGGGGTCCCCATCACTCGCCCCTGCCCCTCAGGCTCAGCATAGGTCGCTTCCTGGCGCAGCTCTGGTGGCTTCACAGCCCCGGCCATTCCTCCTCAGGGGCTTTCCGTGTGCTGGGGCTGCTGCTGTGGTTACACGGTCTTGTTCTTTCCCACAGCTGCGAGGAGAAGGGGCTGGTGGTGAAGGTGAAAGGGACAAACACCTCGGATGTGATCTGTGGTAAGTGCCTGGTGCCCAGGGCTGGGCCGGTGCAGAGCAGACATCTCCTGATGCTCCAGCTCTTGCAGCACTCGGAGGAGCTGGCCTGGCCCCTGGGTGTGTTAGGGAGAGGAGTGCTGCACTGCTGGTGTGATGCCTTCCTGCTCCTCTCTGTCCCTGTGAGGGATCCTGGTGAGACCAGGCCTGGAGCAGAGGCAGATGGGGGACCTTGGCGTTGTGGTGGGAGTGTCACAAGGGTGTCTCACTGACCCCATCTCCCTCTGCAGAGTCGGGCAAGCGCTCCTCGCTGTCAGTGCTGATCCCCATCACAGCTGCAGTTGTCACCTGCCTCGTGGGCGTCTGCATCTACTGCCTGGTCCATGCAGGTAAGGGGCTGGGACACAAGAAGCCATGCCTTGGCCAGAGGGGCCGTACAGGGCTGAGGAGCCGAGCAGGGAGAGCAGTGACAGCTCTGCTGAGAGTGGGGCAGCCCTTCTGGGAACACCTCCAGGGCATGGCTCCCCGAGCCCATCACCTTGCTGGGTCAGTGGGCTCTGTCCCTATGAGTGGGCATGTTTGTGCTGCTACAGCACAAGCTGGGCCAGCTCTTGGAGGAAAGCACCAGTGCCCTGTGGGTCCAGCTTGGCTCCCTGGCTGTGACCCTCAAGCATCTCTAGCCTGGAAACAGCAGCGCAGCAGCACCAGCCTCGGCTCTGACCCCTGAGAGAGCTCACTGCAGGGCAGGAGCACTCCCCTGACTGTTGTCTTCTCTCTTTTTCTTTCCATCCAGATCCCAGGCGACGGGTGCAGAAGCAGCAGGTGAGTCTGCCCAGAGCCCTCCTCCAGCAGAGGGTTGGGGTCCCTCCTGGGCACAGCTTGGGATGTGCCAGCAGCAGAGCAGGGGCTGTGGCTCTGCAGGGCAGGAGGGGTGGGGGCTGTCCTAGGGATGCTGGGCAGCTCTGGGATGCTGCTGACAAATGCTGAGACAGGAGGGGACCCGCACAGGGTGAGGTCCTGCCCTGCAGGGGAGCGTAGCAGGAGCCTGGGGAAAGAGGTGGCCGCAGAGATGGGGGATGTAGCTGCCTTCCCCTGACTCTGCCCCTCTGCAGATAGAAGAGGGAAGAGGGAAGCCCATAGAGATCCGGCAGCCCACGGAGGATGGGGAGGACATGCCCCACGTGCAGGAGACTCTCCTGAAGGGTCAGCCAGTGGCCCAGGAGGATGGCAAGGAGAGCCGCATGTCAGAGCAGGAGAGGCTGTGAGGACACCGCCTCCAACAGGAGCACGGACCAGGACCAGCGCCGTCTCCTCTGTCCCCTCTCCAGCTGGGGAGAAAAATCTGGCATCCGGCCTGGCTGCACACAAATGTGATGCTGCAGTGGACCATGGCATGACCCCCCCGGTGGGGATACCACAGGTCTGGCTGCCTCCCTAGGGCTGCCATGGTGGGCCAAAGCTCAGCTGCCTGCGCGGGGGACACGAGCAGAACCTGGTCCCACTGCCCCCCTGGGGTGCTGGGGCAGAGCGCAGCGTGGCTGACCCTGTGCAGCCACCAGGCCGGGGTTGCTGTGACACAGCAGGGCACAGCTGCTCACGTGGAGACCCCCTGGCAGAGCCAGGTCCACTGGGGGTGCCATGGGGGACAGTGCGGGCTGCTGATGTGGGACCACCATGGCAGAGCTCAGCCACCCAGCCAGGGAGGCTATGGTAGCACCCAGCTGGGCCACCAGCACAAGGACCCCGTTCCTGGAGCTGGGTCCAGGGTGTGATGGAGGCCGGGTGGCTACTGGCGGTGTGGCTGCCTGGGCCAGGGCAGCAGAGCCCTTGTCACCCCGGGAACAGCCGGGACAGTGGGGACAAGGAAAGGTGCCTGCAGGGCTCTTCTATGGGGTGGGGGGACAGGGACGCCCGGACACCGACTCGTGGCTGCCGGGAGATGGTGCTGCGGGACCGGCGCGGGGCTGTGCGGGGCGGGACCGTCTGTCTCCGGTTAACGGCGGAGCCCGGTCCCGCCCCGCCTTGGGGGGGTAGGGGGATTTCGTCCGGGACCTCCGCGGCCGCGCACCCTCCGCCGGTGGGTGGAGGGCTCTTCTATGGGGTGGGGGGACAGGGACGCCCGGACACCGACTCGTGGCTGCCGGGAGATGGTGCTGCGGGACCGGCGCGGGGCTGTGCGGGGCGGGACCGTCTGTCTCCGGTTAACGGCGGAGCCCGGTCCCGCCCCGCCTTGGCGGGGTAGGGGGGTTTCGTCCGGGAGCTCCGCGGCCGCGCACCCTCCGCCGGTGGGTGGGCTGGGGTGTTCTCCGCCGGGCTCGGGGGGACCATCCCGCACCCCCACCCCCCGCACCGGGGACACGCGTGGGGGCAGCCCGGCCCCGCTGCCTGCAGCCGCCCGCGGGGGGAGCTGGCGACAACCACCGGACTTGGTTATTCTCCACCGCGCTGCTGATTAAAAGCTGTAATTAAAACTTTAATTCGCCTCCCCGTGTGCGTGAGCAACGCGGCCTGCCCGCCCGTCCTCGGGCCTCCCCGCTTCACTGGGTGCTGGGACCGGTGCTCCCGGGGGGGATGCTCTGGGGATGGGTGCTCCCAGGGAAAGGGAAGAAGGGAAAGGGAAGAAGGGAAAGGGAAGAAGGGAAAGAGACACCATCAGCTGTGCTTCATCCCTGCCATGGCCTCAGACCCTCTCTACACAGCCCCCCAGCCTCCATCACACCCTGAGCCTGGGTGTGCCCCCCCTACATCTGCAGCCAACGTCCCCCGAAGCTGTCGGGCAGCGTGACAACTCCTACCCACTGAGCCTTGCCCGTGAGGAGCAAGCACACGGGCTCCTGTCCAACACTTCCCCACCGCCCGTGCCCTCACCACAGCCCTGCATCGCAGGGGACAGGCAGGTTCAGCACACCTCGCCTTGCCCGTCCATCACCCCATGCACTCTGGGGGGCCCATCTCAGCGCATGGCAGTGCTGTGTGGGGTGCTGGGGCAGTGGGGGGGCAGCAGCAGAGCTGGTCGTGGGCCCTGACTTGCTGGCACAGGGCTGGCACCAAGCCCTGGTGCAGGCTCCAGGTACAAAGAGCAGCTGCAGCCCGTAACCTGCCACCACCCAAGAGCTTGCAGCATGGCCTAAGAAAGGCCGTAAATCCCAGAGCCAGGAGCAGCTGGAATACAGAGCGACTTTTACTGTAAAGGCAGTGGCACATTATTTAAGGCTCCTCTTAAAACCTAATGTTAGGTTTAATAAGGGAGATAAAAGCGTGTCAGCAGCTCTCCCTCTCAGGGCTCGCTGCTCCCAGCAGCATTAGTGGGATGGTCCCAGGGCTGGGGAGCATCCCCTCGGCACCAGCCCAGTGAACACCCTGCCCTGGGGACAGACGTGACCCCGGGTCCTGCTGGCAGAGACAGCCAGCATCGTATGAGCTACAGACACGGAGCCTTTGGACCCAAACGGCCCCCAAAGGCTTGTTTCCCTCCATGGCTGCCCCACGGCAGCGGGATGGCCCCCCTGGCTCCCTGCCTCCCCCAGAGCTGACCTCTCCCCGCCGACACGCAGCGCGCTTAATGCCTGCTCCCGCATGTCAGACATGTGCCATCTCATTAGCGCCTCTGTCCCCCAAAGTGAGAAGGGAGAGCGCGTGAGACCTAATTGAATGTAACTAATTATTCACTCCGCAAATGCTCTGTTTAAATGGGATTGTGAGGGACAGAATTACTCATTCTGAAAAGGGGAGAGAAAGGGAGAAAGACAGAGAGAAAACAAATAGAGGCGGATGCTGGAGCTGCAGCTCCCTCTCTCCCCAGAATACCAATTACCGGATGAAGTGATTGTATAAATCTTTACCGAGTGAACAAACTGTACTAGTCACTTACTCCTGTCCTCTTATTATGAGGAAGCAATGAAAAATCATCCCAGCTCTCCCGTCCAGTTAAGGGCTCCCAGTTGCTGCCTCGGATGCTGTCTGCAGCTGGAGAGCTGGTCCCGGTGCTTTCCCTGGGCGGAGACCCTGCAGAGACAAGGCTGAGAGCTTGGCAGGGATGCACATCACTCCCACACCCTGGCCCCAGGATGGGGACAGTGACTGCACGTCTCCTAAGGAGCTGTGGGGCTCCTGTCCCAGCAGGAGCCAGGCAATGCCATGCAGCACCCCAGGACACGGGGAGACTTGGGCTGGTCAAGGGTCCCAGTGCCGCACGAATGGCAGTGCACGTGGGGACACCAGTGCAGAGGCATCCAGAGCCTTCTGCCTGCAACTTTTCTGCCCTCTCCTTTGGTAGGTCCAGCCCTGCCAGGCCTCTGGCCCCTCTCTGCGGGCTCTTGCAGAGCTCAGAGACCTCTCCAAGTGCTCACCGAGCGGGGAGAGCACAGCCCTTCCTGACCCCTGTCCGTGCCAGAGTCAGAGTTTCTCACTCTCCGACCTCTCTCCTCCACAGGCTGGAGAAACGCACCAATTAGCAGTGATCTCATCGCTCTTCCCTGCCACATCCTTTAATCCCAGATCCCTCACACAGTTTCCTCCAAACACATCCGTTTCTCTCCTCAGCAGCAGTGTGACATGGGAAAGGAGGTCCTGGCCATGGGGAGCAGGGAAAGCCAACGGGCTCCCCCCCTGCACCCTTCCCTAAAATGGGGAGCACCCACACCCTGGGGTCCTGCTGCATGAGCTGGTGAGGACACAGCCAGTCCCACAGTCCCCACAAGCAACACCAGGACCCCCCTCATCACGAGGTACCCAGCATCCTCAGGGATGGTTTACCGGGATGAAGGCCACCTGGTCTCCACGTCTTGCTGCCACCAGGAACGGAGATGCAGCAGCCCCAGTGTGCCCCAAGGAAGGACCACGCTGCTGTGTCCTGCAGCACTCCGGGTGCCATGGTTCCCTGGCTCGGCCCGGGGTGGGAAGAAGCTGCTGGAGGTGTTGTGCAGTCTGTCACTGTGGGGGAAAAGAGAGCAGCAGCAAGTCAGGAAGGAGAGGGCAAAACCTCCAGCCTGTCCTGCCTCATACGGGATGGGGATTTGATTGTTGCCAGCAGTGAGTTTTCATGCACTGGAGATGTGCGTGTGTGGGTGTGAGGGAGAGATAACATCATCATCATCATAACAAATGCAGCTGTGCAGCTCCATTCTGTGCTTATTGGCTTTCTTCTGTTTATCTATAAATAATTGCAGGGACACAATAGACTTTTAAGACTGCCAAAGAGTTTGTCTCCCTCCAGCAACCGTATTGCCACAGCGCTGCCACCTTATCTGCTTGTAGAAAGATGAGGGTGCGAAAAATATTTACTGTCGGGGATATTTGTCATCTGCAAATTACCTCTGCCTACAATCCGCAGCGGGGATAGGACTGACAGGGCTGATCTATATTGCAGGCACGTGAGCCCTGGGGTTCTCCAGGCTGCCCCAAACCCACCTGAGCCTCCTCCCCGTGAGGGTGGCACTGTGCTGGGGAATCCACCGTGAAAAGCCACGCCACAGGCTGCAACGGCAGCCCAGAGGGATGAGGGAAGCAGCAGATGATGCTGAACTAGGTAGTCAGCAAGTGGCCTGACACAGAGGAGCACCGTGATGGGACAAATCAAGTGTTGAGGAGCTCAGAGGTTTGCAATGAGGTCCCCCAGTGCACACCTGCACCCCCATGCTGCACAGCCAGGCCAGTGTCCCCCCAGCACAGCAGCCCCAGGCACCGACCACCCCAGGTCTCACCACTCTCCTGCAAAGGACAAACACTCTGTGTGCCCCTGCCACTTTCTCAGCACTCAACACCCCCGCCAGCCCTCTCTGCCCACTGTCACCAGCCCCACCAGCCGTTGGGGTTCCTCACATCCTGCAGCCCAGAGGCTTTTGCACGGCACTTATCACTGCAGTATCCGAGAACCGATCTAATTGATGTGACACCAATTATTCAAGTATCGCTAAATGTAGAACTAATGCATCTGTGTGTACAAACCTCCTAGACCCTGACCATGAAATTATAACTCTGACATGAAAGGAGCCAGAGCGGGCGCACCAGCTCTCAGCTGAGCCCCTGCCACCACAGCATTGGCCAGCCCTGCCAGGACACCTCCCTGACAGCCATGCAGAGAGGGGACGTCACACAGACCATCTGCAGCAGGGTCCACATCCAACTGACTGCATGGAGAGCTGGGAGCCATGGCTCCCTGCACACCAGGCTGTAGCCATGGTGGGTACCACACAGACGAGCCAGCTCAAGCAGCATCAGCCAGCCTCAATCACCATCACAACCCAGTGACAGCCAGTTTGGGGAGCTGCCTGCTCTACAAGGCAGTGCAGGAGCCATTTCTGGGCTGCTCAGTTCAGCCCATGCAGCTATAGCAAAGCTCTTGGCTTGGACATGGACTGGTGCTGGGAAAAGCCATTCATTGCATCTGAAATTTTACTGTGAAATTAAGCTATGCCTGGACACGCAGAGCTTGGCATAAGCGGCAGTTTGTGTTTTGTAAATTGCTTTCTACAATCAATTAAAGAAAAGAGATGGCTGGTGGCTTGGGGGGCACACAGGGTGGCTCTTCTTTGGGCTGGCTCCAGGTCCCTGTCGTGCAGCTCAGAGGAGCAGTCTCAGTCCCCAGGGGAGCAGCCTTGGTCCCGAGAGACCATGGGGCTGGGGAGAGCCTGCACCCAGCAGAAAAGGACATGGGGTGCTGTGCCGTGAGGGGGGAGGATGGCCCCACCAGGGGCTGTTCTGTTGCCCCCCTGCCTGCACCAATTACCTGGGTGAGGGGCTCTTACCCTCCTGCTGCCGGATGGCTGCTCCCCTCTGCACCCCAACACCCACACCCTCCAGCAGGCACTGGGGGGACTGCAGAGCCGGCAGCACACAGTGGTCCCAGAGCCACTCTGGGGCAGCAAAGCAGAGAATTCCTACTTGAACTGGGGATGCAGCGAGGCACAGAGGACATGGCAAAGCTCTGGCACCATCTCCCATCGCATTTGGACAGCGAGTGTGGTGAGCACAGCGCGAACGTTGGGCTGCTTGG